CCAAAGTCCATATGGGCAGTAGATTTTAGACACTGGGCATCATGGAATAACTTCTTATGCCTTGCTTCTGTGTCCACACTGCTGATCTGAATGTGCAGTGAAGATGCTGTCTTAGTCCATTTGTGCTGCTATAACAAAGTACTGGAGAGTGGGTAATTTATAAAGAAGAGGAATTTATTTTCTCATAGATCTGGAGGCTGGGAAGTCCACATTCAAGGCACTGTCAGGTTTGGTGTCAGATGAGGGCTGCTCTCTCTGCTTCCAAGATGGTGCCCTGTTGCTGTGACCTCTGGAGGGGACAAACACTGTGTCCTCACATGGCGGAAGGGCAGAAGAGAACAAACCCATTTCCTCAAGCCCTTTATAAGGGACCTAATCCCATCCAGGAGGGCTCTGTCCTCATGACTTAATCACCTCCTAAAGGTCCCGCTCTTAATACTATCACATTGGCAATTAGGTTTCAGCGTGTGAATTTTGGGGGAACACATTCAGACCGTAGCAACAACCAAGTGCCTTTTATTTTGTTCTATTTTTAAGTTACACGTTGTGTGTATATTTCTCACTTTCTGGAAAATAATGCTGTTCTGTAGCAGGACTATGAAGAATCTGACGTCAGTTATAAATGTACACATCTAATGATTTGCTTCCAAACTGTCAGTCATTTGTCACCAGTAAGCTCCCAGTTTGGCTCCCAGGGGCCAGGCAGATGATATGAATCCTCTTAATGGCTGGCTGGGGACTGCACAAATGGGAGGACACATACCTTTTAAAAATTAAGGAGCCATAGTTAGTTTTACTTACTACTATGCTGTGATGTGAATCCTATTTTGATTTCCTCTTTTATTTTCCTGAGAAATCAGAAATTTAGATTTTTAAGTGAAATATCCTTATGTTTAAATCTTAGCAAATAATTCTTTTTTTCTTTTTCTTTCTTTCTTTTTTTTATTGCTTATTTGGTAAATTATACCATCATAGTTAATTAGATCAAACCCGCAGGCCAGGTTCCTCATGGGAATCACCAGTAGTTAGCTTCTGTTATCATTATGGAGGGCACTGTTCTCATTCTGTGCTGAAAGGGCACTGAGAATCCCTCCTCCAGGGTGGGGTTGAGGATGGCTGTGAGACCTGAATGAGATCGACATTTGCCACAAATCACTTCATGTGGAAGCCTGGGTGTCATCACAGTACCTCCTTTCTCCCAGCACGTTGTCACCTGCCAGGTCCTTTTGATTCTAGTGCCTTCCTCTTCCAGACACTGGTAGTATCTAGTCCAGGCTCTTGTCTCTTGTCTGCACTATGTCAGTGGTCTTCTAGTTGTGCTCTCTGATGTGAGGCTCCGCTCCCTCAATCCTTTCCCACACTCCTGCCAGAGTAATTTTTCCAAAATACAATCTGCAAAAGTCACTCCTCTGCTTAAAAATGTTCCAGTAAGTCAATAAGTTACTGTGCTGGAAAGCCTCTCCTGGCCCTCCAGATCCACTCTCCACCCTTCCCCACCCCATGCTGCACCCACCTGGAGGCTGACCTGTGTGCACGGCATCAATGTCTCCCTCGCCCTCTGGCTCCTGGCTAATGGGATTGGAGAGAGGTGTGTTTCTTTCCCCAGCTGTCTGTTTGTGGGTGGCTGTGGGTTGTCATTATTGATCTTAGCTCCTCTCAGGCGGCTCTGTAAACACAGCCTCTGCCTGCCCTTGCCCCACCTAGCAGGCAGGGCTCGAGCAGACCATGAGCATCGCCAGATTCACAGTCTAGCTGGTACCAGCCCGAGTGCTACGCCAGCCCTCGTGGTCTCCCTGTACCCTGTCCACACCTGAGTGAATAGCGTGTTTTTACAGTGCTCCTCAAGCAGGACTTGGCAAATGTGTTTATGTTTGGGGAATAACGAGAAACATGATGTGCTTGGAGTGTGGGATATGGTGAGCTGGACCTGCAAGAGATGGAGCTGGAAAATGAACAGGGTAAGGCGCAGAAAGCCTAGAGCTGCAGGACAAGTGTCCTGAGGAATTTGTGAAGGGCTTTAAAGGTGGCAGAATAACTGTCTAGGAAAGAGTAGACCAAATCCCAGAGGTCATTGACTATCAGGGTCATGAGTTGTGGATATATATCTTTTTCAGTAGAAGATAGAATGGACTAGAGAAGGGAGATGTGAGAGGCAGGGGTGTGGTGTGTTTCTCAGCACACAGCCTTAGATATATTAGTATTTAATATATCCTGGTTGAACTGAATTGTTGAGTCTGTGTGACAGCTTGAGTGACATTTTTATGTCATTCACCCAATTCATATTTCTAAATTTTTGTTGTTACAGACCTTATGGTAGTATTAACCAGAAAGTATGTATTTACTGTTAACAAAATCAGGGTTGTTTGAGATCTCCTTAAATAACCTTTGTGGTAACATTGGAATGAACATTTATTTGATGTCTGGGAAGTAATATCCCAGTGGAACTCATTTTATTTTGGGTTGTTTTTAATATGGAGCTGTTAATATAGCATTTCCAATAAGTGACCTTATATGTGAAATCTGTGTTTAATTACTAATGTTTTAGCAAGAGTAGTTGAACTGTACTATTTATTATAAGTCATAGATTTAGGGACTTGACAGGAAAGTATTTTATGATTTGATTTATGCATGGAGATCCAAGAAAGGCAAGCAGTACTCTGGTCTTTATGAGATTGTGAACACACTTACTCCTATAATATTCTTGGTCTTTACCAGTTCATTATATAATCAGTAAACAGTATCTTTTTGTAATTTTTCATCCAGCGTATTCCCTAGCTAGACCTTTACTTAGAAAAATATGATTTCCTAAGAGATCTTTAAGACTGCTAGTTTTAAGCAAATGACACACAGTACGTATTGCTTCTTGGGTTGTGTTTTCATAGGTTTCCCTTTAGTGTTTATTTTTTCTCTTAAAAAAAATGAACTTTTATTGAGTGTTTTGTTGCACAAACTATACAAAGTCATTGTATGACATTAGAAAATATAGATGAGCAAAGAGAAAAAAATTAAAAGTGTTTGTAATTCCATCACAATTAG